GGCCTCCGTCCATTAATTTCGGAAAAGGGAGCCAGCGCCATCGGCGCCAGAGCAAACCCACAACAGAACATCGTGATGCTCAGATTGTACACGACGGTACTGACCCCCCATAATTTAGTTAGTTCCTCCGATGCAGGACTGACCTCGCCCGCAGCATAACCTGCTAGCGCAGTGACCCCGCAAGCGATATAAGTCATCATGGACTTGCGCCATTTTGGCCACAGAAAGGGAGAGATGAATTTCTCTAGACTGGGCGCTTCCGGTGGTGGTGACTGAGCGGGGCCGGGTGGTAAAGTAATGCATGGGGTCGGTAAGGGTGTTTCTAGCTCTAGATAGCGGAACTCGATATCTTGAGATCCGCATAGAGACTTGGTAGTCTCCTCGTTTCTTTCCATAGCTGTTGGTTGCGGTTTAAGTGAGTCAGGCGTTGTAGATGCCATGTAGTAAATCAGGACGATAGTTGGCAAGAGTTTTCTAAGCTAAGCTTCTAGGGCGTGGAGTCCAACCGAGACAAAAACGGAGAAAGGACCAAACCCCGAAACATCATCATCTCTCCAATTTGATATATCATCCGAACCACATTGCTTGTGGACTAATGTGGATCCTGTTGATCATGTATACGACTCTTTGCAGGTTAGTACTGGATCCGACCATGTACGGAGTACATTGAGACAAAGTTGGGCTGTTGGTGGAACTGATAATGCTCCATCCGGAGGACGTGGGGGCCCCATGCCTTGGCGTCGTGGTCATAGGTATACCGACTACTGAATAAGGCCTAGCTCTTTCTCCTTTTTTGACGGTGTTTCACGTCATCTCGATGATCAGAAGAGAAAAAGACTTGCTTATTTCAAAATAAGAAGAATAAAATAAAGAAACAAGTATTAAATGAGGGTTCTAGCGTCGCATCGCGAATTCATAGATGAGAATACGGGGTATACTCCGCAGAGGCAACTAACCATCGGTGGTCACGTGCATGAAATTTCTCCAATTCGGAGACCTCGGGATTTGCACCGATTCGGTACAGCCCATTAATCATCGTGGGAATCGACAGACTAGGCCAGTAAGTAAGTGCTTGGCGATGCAAGACCACTACAAGGTTCATGATATTCTGCTCAATTCGACCTAGTCCGTGGTAGTATTTGTGGAGGTACTTGTGAACCGGGCACACCAGGGAATAATGTCCCTGTCAGACTCACCGGAGTTGCGCACCAAATCCCCGAGACCATCCAACTCTCCACGTCATGTTCACCCCCAATGTTGAATAGCAAGCCCTATCAGTGTCAGCGATGCCCGAGGGCATTTGCCCGGCTAGAGCATCTTCAAAGACACGATCGCTCACGTATGTCTTCTGGACCTCGGACCGAATCCCCCGTCTAATATCCCCCCAGATACCAAAGAGAAACCGTTTGTTTGCGTTCAATGTCCCAAGGCCTTTACACGCAAGTACGATATATAATTTCAGTACATCTATTAGTTACATGTACTCACCATTCTAGGGATCTACTGGCTCGTCATGAGCGTCTCTCTCACAACCCTGATGCCAGTCCAGCCAGCAATAACACACACACGCCCTCCCCCGCAAATCCTTCTCCCTTGGACGGATTAAACTCCATGGCATCTGTAGTCAACCACGCACAATCTAACCCTAGCGCTCTACAAGGGCCTGTCGACCATTTCACATCATTGTCGCCAGCCGTACACCGCCCGGTGCTGGGTACTCAGTTGGCTAGTATAGACACTCCCTCTGAAAGACCCACCACCCCATCCCCTGGCCCGGATTTTGGCTATGCTCTAAGTGGCTTTGGACCGGCATCATATCAAGCTCATGACTTCACCTCGTTTTTGGATAGCGTCCCCTTGCCAAATCATCCGTTCTCTCCGGCTTACCAGCCACTCCCGCTATTCCCACCGTTGCACTTCTCCCCGGTTCCGGAATATGATCAATCTTCTGATCGAGGGGCTCTGACTGAAAACACTCCTTCCACTCCTTCCAGCTCTGTACTTCCCCGAAATGACACTCAGCTGCCCTCCCTCCAGCCGGAGGGGTATCATCACATCTCCCCCGCGGCGCGCCAGCCCACGGGATTCGTACCGGTCACGGCGGAATGCCGGGAGAAGTTCATGAATATGTTAGCCGACTACGCCAATGTGGTCCCAGATCCATCGATGCCATCTCGACATGCGCTATCTCGATGTTTGACCGGGTATGTAACCGGTTTTCACGAGCACTACCCAATCGTGCATATCCCGACCTTCGATGTAGATTCCATGACCTTACCGTATTTCCTAGCGATGGCGGCATTGGGTGCACGGTATTGCCGCGAGCCAGACACTGCGTTTCGTCTCTATCAGATTGCCAAACCAGTCACTATGGAACATGTTCGCCGGGTCTTCCAGTCGGGCAAGCTGCCCCCGCCCGGCCTCAACGCGGCCGACGATATTGGTACCCTGCAAACTGTGCAAGCTTTATTGTATATGACCTCGGTGTCGTTATGGTTTATCAACAACCCCCCATACCACGAGGCGCTGTCGCTTCGTAGTCTAATGGAAATAGTCGTCCGACAAGGAGGACTCAACCGGCTACCGGAGCAGGACGGAACATGGAGTAGCTGGATACGACGGGAATGCGTGAAGCGCACGAAACTAATTGTGTTCTGTTTCTTCAACATCCACACTATCGTGTTCGACGTCCCACCCATGATTCTCACTGAAGATTTCACACTCGAACTACCCAGCACCGAAAAAGAATGGCAAGCCCCGCGCTCAGATCTCTGGCAGATAGAGCGCATGAAGAGTCCCGGCGAGCCAAAGTTCCAGGATGCCCTTTCCGCCTTATTTAAACCAACCAGCAATGTAGAGCGGTTTTCCTCGCTCGGCGGCTACGTGCTAATCCACGCGATCCTGCAAGACATCTGGCTCATGACGAAAGCGGGCCGACTGCCCGTGTCACGACGGAACCGCTTCACTCCATCGTCAATGGCACCCACACCCGAGCTCGTACACGTCGAACAAGCGCTAGAACGCTGGTGCCAGTGCTGGGAGCGCAACCAAGAATCCTCCGTTGACCCACTCAGCCCGAATGGCCCGCTATCCTTCACATCAGCAGCGCTGCTTCGACTAGCCTACATCCGACTCAACGCAGACTGCGGCTCAGCCCGCCAACTGCAAACCTGGGATCCCGTGCAGATCGCAACCAGTCTCCACGACAACCTCGCCGTCCGACGCGGCGACCGGCTCACACGCGCTGCACTCCACTGCGCACATGCCCTCAGCACACCCGTCAAACTGGGTATTGGATTTGTCGCGCACTCGCAGGTGGCGCTGTGGTCGAATCAGCACGCTTTGTGCTCCCTGGAGTGCGCGGTGCTATTGGCTAAGTGGCTGGAGGCGATCACGGTGCCGGATCCGGACCCGGGGCTAACAGAGCAGGAGACCCGGTTGCGAGATTTCGTGCTCGAGATGGTTATGGAGGTGGAGCATGGTGTTTCGAGGGAGTGGCTGCTCGCTACTAATACACGGCTCAGTGCTGCGGTCACCAGGTTGTGGGCGCGGCTGTTTACGGCGGATTATATCTGGGAGATGGTTTCTTTGATTGGGAAGTCTTTGAATAGCTATGCGGACTTGCTAGAGCAGTAGTATGGAGTTTCAGTTGCTGTGCTTGCGCTCTCGGAGGCTAGGGCCAATTGAACGGTAAAGGTCATTATAACATCAGACAAGGGCGTACTGATCATAGTCATGTCGGTTAGTATCTCGGCACTTCTCCTTCTTGTCCCCACAAATTCCCCGCCATAGGGCGTACACCGGAATTAACACGGGGCCGGTGATTCCCTTGGATCTCGGAGTTTGAGGGCTTTTTGACGTGCCACCACACTTCCCCACTTCCGTTTGCTAGGTCTTTAGTCCTTAGTTTCTTCAATCACCTTCCCCAAGCAATCCAAAACGTACTTCAACACAACAACTTCCTAATCTCAAATAACCAATACAATACAAAATGGCACCCTCACCCGTCACAGCCTCCCCAGAAGTCCTGACCCACCTCAAAGACCTACACACCAAATCCCTAACCCAAGAATCAACCGTGGACTGGCACAACCTACCAAAACAATGCAGTCCTGAATTCGACTCCATCATGGTCGACAAGTTCATCGCACTGGACCAAGACAAGTGCGAACTAGTCTACCACATCCTGCGCAGCATCAACGCAAAGACCGTCGTCGAAGCCGGTACCAGCTTCGGCGTTAGCACCATCTACTTAGCGCTTGCCGTCGCAGAGAATGCGAAGCGCGTCAGCGCCACCACTAAGCCGCGAGTCATCGCCACGGAGAAGGAAGAGTCCAAGGCTAAGATAGCTCGAGAGCATTGGGCGCGTGCCGGCAAGGAGATTGAGGATGTGATTGATCTCCGTGTTGGGGATCTGCGTGAGACTCTTACTTCTGATTTGGGGACTGTGGATTTCTTGCTGTTGGATAGTAAGTGGTGTTCATTTCCTTGGGCTGATGCAGTAACATACACATACATATGCGAATATGTCTAGTCGTGATAGTAGCAGCAGGCATCTATGCTAACCACTACATACCTAGTCTGGACGCCTCTTGCCCTCCCTGCGCTGAAGCTTGTTCAGCCGCATTTCCGGCCTGGCGCGGTGATTATCGTTGATAATACTGTCAAGGCGAAGGATAGGTATCAGGAGCTCTTTGCGTATGTTGATGCCGAGGGCAGTGGATTCCGACGGGTGACGATGCCGTATGAGGGGGGTTTGGATATGATTGTTTATCAATAGATGTAGTCTCATGAAGTTATCCACGCTATCGCAGATCAATTCGGTATGCACGCTATGAACTATTCCAACACATCCAGTTCTTTATCTTTGATAGGCCCAATGGATCCGCCCTAGCTACTAGTCGAATATCAGCCCCTCATTCTATAAAATCCATATCCTTTATATACCCCGCACATTGATTCAATTCCACCAAACTCATCCATCCATACATCCATCCACCATGTCCAAAACAAACCTCCACCTCCAACCCCAAGAAGAAGAACCAGGCCTCTTCAACGCAGCCCCAAGCCTAAACCCACCCCCAACACCAGCAACAAAAGACTACAAACTAAACCACCTAGCCCTACGCATCCAAGACCCAACCCGCTCCCTAAACTTCTACATCAACCTCCTAGGCATGCGCATAATCTTCACCATGAACGCCGGCCCCTTCACAATCTACTACCTCGGACACCCGCCGCCATCAGCCATGACCGAAGACGACATTACCGCGTGGGCGAACCACGAGCGAAATCCCCGTTCTGACGAAGACGTGCGGGCTGCTGGAGTTGTTCCATATGCATGGTACGGAGAATGTTGATGGTGGTGCGGATGGTGCTGGTGCTATTTCTACGGGGAATGTACCCCCGCATCTTGGATTCGCGCATTTGGGGTTCACGGTTCCTGATGTGTCGGCTGCTGTGCGGAGGTTGCGGGATGGTGGGGTTAGGATTCTGAAGGATGTGGGTGTTTCTTCGAGGGAGGCGGTGCCGCTTTCGGAGTGGGAGGAGGAGAGGGGTATTGCGCGCGGCGAGATTCATGCGAATTATGCGTGGTTTTTTGAGAAGTTTGCTATGGTTGCTGATCCGGTGAGTTTCTATGGCCCCCTGAGTCAAGGTATTGTGCTGATGCGAGCGGATAGGATGGATATACGGTTGAGTTGATTCCTCAAAATGTGTGATCTACGATTTTGGCACGGTTTTGTTTAATCAACAGGTCGGAATGGAACGTCCATCCCGTAAAAATAGCTTAATGCAGCCTATACAGCCAACATATGATGCTGGTACACGAAAAGTAACGGAATTAAGCGCCCCAGCTGTCATCCTCCGCAACGTCGTAATCCATATCCCGCGCAGGAGCGCTGTTGGCCACCGACGAAGACGACATGACTGTGTCTTCTGGTTCGTCTTGTCCAATACCACCCTTGAATTCCGTGGATGACCCAGCGGTAGGAAGTACAATGGGCGGATTGGGCACCCAGGTGAGTTGAACCTCGCCCACGGAGGGGATGTTCCAGGGGGAGAACATGAGCTTCTCGGCCTGGAAGCGCTCTTTGAATGCCACCACGACGGAGTTTGGCTGGTCTGGGTGTGCCTCAATAGATTCGTATTCGCCAACGCCCTAGAACACAACGAATTAGTACACGCTTTGCTTGGTTAGAAAGATACATAACTTACCATCAGGTGCTGACGCAATGCCTCGTCCTTGTCTGAGTTGAGCTCAACGCCCGATACGGCGACTCGTCGAGGCCGGTTATCCAGACGCAGTACACCTCCCCGTCCCCGAGCCGCAGATCCACCGCGTCCACGATATCCTCCGCGGAAGTTGGGATCGTAAGCGCCGCGTCCACGGTACGTGCCTCGGCCGCGGAAGCCACCACGACCCCGGTAGCCACCCCGCGCTGAATGGTCCGCCGCAGGGTCAAGACCAAGACTCTTTGCCTCCGCCTCGAGAGCAGCCAGTTGAGCTCGCAGCTGTTTCGTCTCAGCACTGATATTCTCGTCAGCTGGACGCTCGGTGGCCATAGCGTCTCCACCACCGGTACCACCGTTCGTGTCTGTCGTGCCTCCAAGTCGCTGCATGAGACGGGCCCGCTCCTCCTGCTGTTTCTTGATAAGTTCATCGCGCTGGCGCTCTAGAGCCTGCTTGGCTGCTTCGGTCTCCTGTCGCTTTTTCATTTTCTCCTCGTGCGCCCTCTGTGCTTCTTGTTGTTGCTTCTCGAACTCTTCTTTGTTGAAGGCTGGGGGCTCCGGTTGTGCACTGTCATGCGTCTCATCGCGATTCGGTTTGTACCAGTAAACCTTCACGAAGCGGTTGTCGAAGATAACCTTGGGACTAGACCACGCAGCCTTGGCTTCCGGGAAAGTCTCGTATTTGACCAAAGCCACCTTTTTGTAAGGTTGCAAAGAGACCTCGGTGATCTTACCGAACTCTGAGAAGAACTCGCGCACAGAATCCTCGTTGAACTTGTCGTCGGGAATCTGCTCAACAACAATAGTCGTAACAGACTGATCTTCATTAGGTCCTGCCGATGAGAAATCGGACCGGCCGCGTCCTCGTCCGCTGAATCCGCCGCGACCACGGCCGCGGCCACGGTCACCGCGCGAAGGAGCACCGCCCCGCTGTGCATGCGTACCCGCGGTCTTGGGGTCATATTCTGCGACTGTTAGCAATGGTATATCTAGGATGAATGAATTGTTCTTACCATCGTCTTTCGAGACTCCCTCGCCGTGCTGGTAAGGGCAAGTATTCCCTAGGTAACAGATACCTTGGGTATCATAGAATGGACATCGCTGGTTGCTTTTGGGGATCTGATCGGCTCCTGGCTGACCGGGAGGACCAGGCATCCCGGGCATAGGCATCCCCGGCATCGGCGGGAATCCCATACCTTGCATACTCTGCATAGCCATCATTGCTGCCATAGGGTCATTCGGGTCGAACGGTGGGAAACTGGGCATCATAGGGAAGCCACCGGGTTGCTGCGGAGGGAACTGTTGACCCTGCTGATGCGGAGGAAATTGCTGGCCTTGTTGCTGGGGAGGGAATTGCTGGCCTTGTTGCTGCAGTGGAAACAGTTGGCCCGCTTGCTGTGGAGGATATTGTTGACCCGGTTGCATATGTTGTCCGCCCATGAAGTCGCCGCGACCACTTCCGCGCCCACCACGTCGTGCAGTCTTGATAGCGCGATTCTGGAACCCACTATCGTCGTGATCCGGCTCCCCCTGGAATCCCTCATTGAAAGTTCGTTTCCGGTTGGCACTGCCCGGGGTGACGGTAGCTCTCGGGCCGCTGGGGGCATTCTCAGGAGGCTGTGACAAAGGAATCTGGGCAGCAGGTTGGGGCTGGCGCTGAGGCTGGGGTGCAGGCGCGGGCGTAGGAGGTGCGGGTTGTTTGGGACCGAATGTTGTAAAGAGCTCGGTAACGAACGGTTGAGTGTCTAAGAAGTGTTAGTTGTATGAAACAACTCGCTGCGATCGAGATATGGACTCACGTTCGCGTAGGAAATCCTCCAAATTTTCCACCGAGATCTTCTTGATTTCCTCGGCTGGCGCATCGGACCTAACTAGCGCCAAAACATAGTCTGCGAGCACGTCGGAGTCGGCATCCGAGCTAAAGACAGAATAAAACCAATTAGTCTCAGTTTGCTTCCCCTAGGGCCATCCACGGGTCTCAGTCCCCGATTCTGGTGCCTGATCAACTCACATGTCCTCCAGTTTTTTTACCACCCATTTCTTTACGTCAGCGGCCTCTGCATCAGTAAACTGCATGACGAAGATTATTTCCGAGCAATTCCAAACCGTGAGGATTGAATTGGATCGAACAAAAGATCGAAGTGAAAGTGGCGATGATTGCAGGGATGCGGTTTTAACAAAGCCGTCACGCGGGAAGATGCCTGCGTGTGCAGTGATAATTGTATATGCGATGAAATCACACCCTTGTATTTCAGATAACAATGCTTGAGAATAGGTTATTTTAAGCTGATAAGCATTCACCCCAACCGTAAGGGAATAGAAGGATATGGCTAGGAGCGCGATTGTGAAGGGAAAAACGCGAGGCTCGGTGGATCACGTGATTAATGACATAGGACAACACAACTCCTCAAGCTGCCATTGCGATCGGAGTCATGGTTTCGCTGATTTTTTTTATGCTTACAATTACTTGTCTACAGATGAACCACTGTGCCTAGCATACCCAAGTTTATTTTCATATCGAAACTGGCTGCTAGACTACAGCAAAAACGCAAAAAGCAAAAAGAAAACCCTCGGTAGAAAAACCAAATGTAGAAACAGCAATGAAAGGACAGAATCAATGATGCCTAGAGGCTTCAATATTCATGTCCTGATTTCTAAAGGCGGAACGATCGAAGCAAATACCGACGAATGAGGGAATAAAATTTTGTTGAACCGAAGAAATTGTATTGAATTCATCAATCTCATGAAAGATTCCACGAATGACTGGCAGAAGGGAAATTCTGGGTGACCGTGAACATTTTTACAGCTTGTCGTAGTACTATAGGACCAGATTAGTAACTGTGACCAACGAGAGTGAAGAAAAAGACTTACGTTTTCGTAACCGGGAACGACCTCCTTGAGACCCTTGCGCTTGCGCATTTCCTGGACGACCTGACCGGGCTTGGTGGTGGGGTCGAGAGGAGAACCGCCGGGGAGGATGCTCCAGTGATCGAAGATGGACTGGGGGAAAGCCTGGCCACCGGTAGCGGAACGCAGATCGGCAGGGAAACCGAAGGACTCGTTGACGGGCAAGTAAGCCTTGACCATGAACAGAGGGGTACCGGGACGCTGCTCCTCAGTGTAGACGTGACCACGGCGGCGGGTGAGGACACCGTAGATACCACCCATAGCCTGCTCGGGAACCTGGATCTCGACGTTGAAGATGGGCTCGAGGAGACCGGGGTCGGCCAACATGGCAGCGGCGTACAGAGCACGACGAGCAGTGGGGATGATCTGACCACCACCACGGTGAATGGCATCAGCGTGCAGGGTAACATCAAGGATGTTGAAGCGGACGGAACGCATGGGCTCCTCAGCAACAGGACCCTCGCGGGTAGCCCACTGGAAACCGGAGACAACGGAATCCTTGATTTCGTTGAGGTACTGCACGGCCTTGGTCTGGTCAACGAGCAAGTTGGCACCGGTGGTGTCGGGACCGAAGCACCAAATCTTACGGGCATCGGTGACATCCCAGCCGTGCTCGTCAGCAAGGACACGGGCACGAGCCTTGAAGTCGTCACGGGGGCTGATACGGCCAGCCTCAATGGCTTGGGAAACTTCCTCGTCAATAGGCTGAGCAGTCATGTACAGACGGTTGTGCTTGTTGGGCGACTTAGACAGGGCAGTCATGCTGGAAACGCCAGCGACGGTCTCACGGTAAGCAACGACGGGGTCGGAGATACGGAGGGGAACACCAGCGTGGTCCTCCTCGAGATCCTTAAGACAAATCTCGAGGTGGAGCTCACCAGCACCGGCAACAATGTGCTGGCCAGACTCGTTGATCATGGTCAGGACACAGGGGTCGGACTTGGAGAGACGCTTAAGACCCTCCACAAGCTTGGGCAGATCCTGGGCGTTCTTGACCTCGACGGAGCGCTGCACAACGGGGGAGACGGAGAACTTCATGACCTTCATGTTGTGGGCGGTCTCATCGGTGGTGAGGGTACCGGACTTGAGCAGGAACTGATCGACACCGACCAGACCGACAATGTTACCGGCGGGGACATCCTCAATGGGCTCAACGAAGCGACCCATCATGAGAATGGTACGCTGGATGGCCTTGATGAAGAGATCCTCCTTGCGGCCGGGAACGTAGTTGGGACCTTGGATGCGGACCTTGACACCGGACTTGACGGTACCGGAGTAAACACGACCGAAGGCGTAGAAACGACCCTTATCGGTGGTGGGCACCATCTTGGAGACGTACAGCATGAGAGGAGCAGTGGGGTCACAGTCGCGGATACCGATGGCGGCGCGGTCATCCATGGGGCCCTCGTAGAGAGTCTCGACACGGTACTTCTGGGCAGTGATGGGGGAAGGAAGGTGGATACAGATCATCTCCAGAAGGGCATCAGCGGCAGGCAAGAACTTGCGCATGATAAGCTTGAGGAGGGCCTTGCCCTCGAGCTCCTTCTCATCGTTGGTGAGGGTGACCTCGAGCTTCTCGAGGAGAGTGAAGATCTCATCACGCTTGTTGTGGTTGACAGCGGCGAAGATCTTGAAGATGGGGTCCAAGATGAACTGGTTGAAGGCACGCTCAAGAGTCTTGCCCTCGTACTCACCCTTGGTGGTCCACTTCTTGGTCTTGGGGTTGAAGTAGTTGTCGCCCCAGAGACGCTCAAGCATCTTCTTGCGGTCAACACCGAACTTCTTGGCGTAACGGATGGCGAACTGGCGGACAGTGAAGCACCAGCCGTGGAGACCGGAACCGAAAGCGATTGTGCCCTGGTCGGGGTAGACCTGGACGTCACCGAGAGCCTTGTCGAAGTAGGTGGAGATGATGACGTTAACGGACTCAATGGTACGGGAGAAGGACTGGTACAGATCCTCCTTGGAGACCTGGAGCTCGAGAAGAGCACGGTCAACCTTGTTGATGCACAGAACGGGCTTGATGCGCTCGGTCAGGGCCTGACGCAGGACAGTCTCGGTCTGGACACAGACACCAGAGACACAGTCGACAACGACAAGGGCACCGTCAGTGACACGGAGAGCAGCAGTGACCTCGGATGAGAAATCAACGTGACCGGGGGAATCGATCAAGTTGATCAGGAACTCGGATCCATCGACAGTCTGGGGAATCTCCTTAAGATCCTCTGGGTCGGGGAACTTGGCGTACAAGGAGATAGCGGTGGACTTGATGGTAATGCAACGATCCTGCTCATCGGGACGGGTGTCCATGAAACGGGCCTCTCCAGCCTTGGCGGCGGAAATAATACCGGCACGCTGAACCAGAGAGTCGGAGAGGGTGGACTTTCCGTGATCGACTAACGCACAGAGACCGAGTCAGAATCAACCATTTCACCATATCACTTCCTCTGCCGTTTGAACTTACCGTGAGCAATGACGGACATGTTTCGGATGTTAGCCCGACGGTCCATCAGAGACCGGATCTGATCTAGGTCAGTATCGACATTCATGATGATTTGATGATGTTGTGTATCAAGGGAAATGGTTGAAAGGTTTTTCAAGTATCACCAGCGGTGGGAGGTAGATGGAGGCAATTGAAGAAGGAGCCATCGAGGGAATATATCTCCTCCTTCTGGTGATAGTGTTTGATATAACCTTGGAACCCTTGAAAGGCAAATACTAACCTCTTCGATAGTGAAGCTGTTCACATCATTGTTAGTACGTTCTAGGACATCGAGGTCTCAAGCAAGGTCAACTTACTTAACCATTTTGGCGGTTGATCCTTAGTTTAACTTGGATAAACAAGAAAAGAAGAAGAGCACACAGATGACTAGGATCGAGACTTCTCGATCGCTGAATCAAAAACTTCTATGTGCAGCTGCTCCTGGTGGACAGAGATAGAGGGGAAAAGAAGAGGAAGAAGAGGGGAAGGAAAAGTGGGAGAGGAAAAAAAGAAAAGCGAAAGTGGGGACTTTTTTTTCTCCTCCCGGTTTTGTGCGTTTTGAGCTGACTGGCCTGTTTGCCTATGAAACCGTTTATATTATTCGGTTTTTTTCCGTTTCTCGTTTTTTAATTGCTTATATTCCTTTCAATTACTTTGGGTATTTTTTCTTGATTTCAAATCCTTCAGATTGGCATGTCCTGACTCACTATATTGTCTTTTTTTTGCCATCCGTGGGTGCTCCGGTGACGTTTTGACAGCCATACCCCAAGCGAGAGATGTCATCCGACTCGTTTTATATCTCTAGCTATGATCCTTGATCTTACTAAATGCTTAAAAGGAGTCATCTTAAAGCCTATGATTCACAGCACGCTTTTATATTTCCAGGGTTTCTAAGAATGACTTGACTTCCTGCCCAAAACCCCTCTATCAAGGTGGGGCAATGCACATTATTAATATTCTAACTATCGGTCAACCTTGGAATGTATCTTGTACGGTACAGCTATACAACTATGTACTAGTATACATATGTATATTTGGATATAATTCAAAATAGAGATACTTAAAACATTCAATCGCATTGAAATGAAAACCCCACTCCTACATCTTCTTTAAGCAAATTTTCACCGGTTTCCACTAGCTCGTGCAGCACCACCGTGCATTAACTAGTGGGGTTCACCAAGGCATCAAGGCATCAAATCATCCCACCTGCATACATTACAAGAAATGGGAGTGCAATACATGTATAGAGGAGGTAAAACTAATAAAACCAATGCTCAAGTCTGTCAAAAACTTGACTCTATACCCAAAATAGTGGATGTCAAAACAGTCTATAAGCCAGGACAAGTCTTCCAACCCGAGTATTCCGGCGCCCAGTCCCGGCAGCCACTTCAATATATGTTGTAAGGAATTGCCAACGCAATAATCTGGTGAGTCAGTCCACCTATCTAATAACTGGTATCAATACTCTGAAGTAGGGCAGAGTGTAACCTGGCCTCTTTTGGCCTCTTGGCTCCTCGCTAGCTACCTATTATGCTATGATATGCATTTGGATGCGACTAACATAGAATCCCGACTTGAAATCTCACTATCGAAGGGATGATGCCGGATACTGCAAATATAAAGTTGCTGGTAAATCATAATTCAAAATTGACACATGATTGTACAACCTCAGCACTATACATGCGTCGATTTTTTGCATCCTTCTAGAAAAGCAATGAGGTATAGCCTACGGAGGCTGGCTTGTATCATATAATGCCAGAAGATATTTTACAACACGACTATGTATTAGAAACCATTAGATGGGTCTACGGAAGACCATCAAAAGTTAGCTCAGGCCCAAGTGCTAGGTTGCCTTGGTTTAGACTTCTCCTATTGGAAATAAAAGACCGTAATTTGATAACATAGAGTTGTATAACCATGTAATGTCTCTTCGTTATAAGCGTCTAAGCTAACCTCTAAATAGACCCCGACATGCCCCTAAACAGACCCCGACACTCGAAGACCTAGCGGGCCACCCAATCGCTAAGAGTCCCTTCGATAAGCGAGTCCAATTGTGACCAAGTCAGATCGGTTTTGTCAATTTAGTTAGATAAAATTTTACCCTTCTAGAATTAAAATCCTGGTGATCCGTAGTACAAGAATAAGTTAGAAAATATTCCCACGCTTAACTGCTGATCGACATACGTAGTGGGGCGTGGTTCTTAGCTATATACTAGGCGCCTCTTTGCATACAATATATGCTTTGTCTCTGAAAAAAAAAAAAAAACACCTATTCCGTTTCGTACTGTGTTCAATGGCACAAGAAAGCCACAAAATATGTTACTAAGATCTACCCAAAGAGGGAGAATACGGTTCTTATAATGAACGATCTCTTCTCAAATAATTATTTTGCACTAACATCTCACTAAGACACCACGCCATAACTAGAGCATCGATGTGGCATTCCGGACGGTCGGCAATGAATGTAAGGTCCGCAAAATGTCACCATGTTTGTGTTATATTTCGAGGCGATAAACGCTGTAGCGGCTCCAGACTGTCTACTAGCATGAATGGTCTGCATTACCGTTAGAAAGTCGATTGAATCATCCCTGACTGTGACCGATATTCTTGTTATTAGAAGCACAACCGTGGAATATATAAAGACCAGGATTGATGCTAAGTCCCAATGAATATTCTAGCATGGGTCGGGATGCAGCAAACCAATGAGTTTGTGATGAAGTTTAAAACCACCTAAGCGCATTGATTTGATGGCTCTATCAAACACAACTATATATGTCGCCCTACCAGATCCCATTTGTTGGGCCTATCATGCTCCAAATTTCCCAGCCTTTCTCTATCATAGATGATATGACTGGCCCCCAATAGGGCACACTAGCTGTAGTGTTTTTATTGAATCATATCTTGTGTCATCTCACCGGGTCATTTATAACCATTCGCAGCCATAGACAGCAACTGAAAAAAAAGAAATTACGATAAGCTCTCACGATAAGCGATCTATGCTGATCCCCATTAAGGCTGGGAATCATCGAATAGTGCCAAGAGTAATATATTAATGAAATATAATGCGTTCTAAGGTTCTACACTAGACCTTGCTGATATCCTCTGTGAAGTTGGAAGAACCTCAAAATCTAGGCCTAGTGAGCTAGTCTAAAGCCAGAATTTCAATCTCCTTTTAAAATAACACAAAGCGGTCAGCTCCTTAAGATCACGATAAGGATGTATATATCACGTGCCACAGTATCGCCAACAACATCTGGCAGTTGGTCTTCATCTTCTTCTTCTTCAGGATATCCACACATCTCAAGACTTACACTACACCAGTGGGAAGCCGTGTATGAACCTGGCTGTGGGATCTGAAATACCATATCTGCCTTAGTTCACTGTTAAGGTCCATTTGTCCCTACAAAGCATTCCATATTGGAAAGGCAAATGGTGAGACTCGGCTTGTCTACTCGATTTTCGGGTTTCCCAGGTGGTGGCTTGTATTTCGATTAAATAAGCGACCAGGACCAGGTAGGTTCCTGAATCATTGATGGCGCGACATAATCGCTTTCATCCCCTCTACCCTTCTCCCATCATTGAATTGACCTCTGAGCTTGATTGATATACCGTCTATGTAATTCTCAAAACAGAATGGCTGACGAGTCTCCTAGTCTCCACGATCTGATCGAGGGGCTCGGATTTCCTCCAAGTGAGCACCAATTCTTGCTTCGTCTCTTCGGCTCATCCGACCCATTTGCTGGGCTTCCTCCGGACCTAGAGGCCAGTCACAGCCAAGATCAATCTCGCCAACTCAGCTCTACTAGTCTTGCTCGTAGACTTGCATCTACTAGGCTCTGGCAAGATACTCCTCCTTCTAGTGGGTGGATCTCGTTGACTAACATACTGTCCCCAGTGAACGTGCGAATCAGTTTCGTCTACAATCCTTCCAGCATCGTCCTGGTGACTTTCCCGAGGGTTCAGAAGGCAGAGACCTGGTTCACTACGAAGAAGAGTGGACTTCCCTCATCGGTGCCGATTCGGAATTTCTACTATCCGAGTTATTCCAACAGCTTGCAACGGACGACGAGCCTCCCTGTCTCGAGTCCCCCGAGCTTCCCGAACACCATAAGGCATCAGAGAACGTTACACGCCCTGGATCTGTTGAACCCCCATGCTCATCAGTCTATGACAGCGAAAAAGGTGAGCCGCCCGATTCTGTTGATAACCTCAACGAAACCCCTCGAACCCAAGGGAATTGCGAAGCATCCCAGGACCCAAGGACTTTAAATCACACCGGGAGCTTTGAGAAGCTACTTGAATCATTCCCAAGACCTCCCGGTCGCGATCAAACCGTTGTGGACCAAGATTTCTCCCACGTCTATTCTGCCACCCAACGATTGTCACCCAAAGACAGTGCCCAAGCTAATACGTCGACATTCACCAGCAGTCATATCAAATCCGCGACCAGCCTACCTCGGATTTCCCGATTCTCTGAAGATTTGGTGGACAGCAACCCGATCGGAGAACAAGATTCTTCCAGAATCTGTGCCAAAGCGGATACATCTGCACTCGATAACAGTGGGCTACCAACTAGTTCTTCTGGAATCTCCCGGCCGTGTTCTAACGACACTTCAACCGTCGTCAACACTCGGAAGATTTCCTCTCAGATCCCTTCACCGTCCCCCAGCGCCTCTTTCGGAGAGTTGCCTCTCCCCGACTATCACGAGGGACAACAAGTGGATCCCGAAACCTCCGACCAGGCTCAGGAGCGCGCAAATCAGGAAAAATACACCATTTTCCCCTCATACTCCTCTCGGGTCCGTCCGATCAGCTACGTGATCAGAAAACAGCACTCTTTTCACAGTATCTTCGAAGGTTTCTCTACACCTACGGATTCCCCTCGGTATTACCAAAAGACGCCTCTTCGTCTCTCCACTCGTCCGTCGATAATCTCTCTTGCCTCTGGAAATAGGAGCACACCGAAGCGCAAGAGAATCTTGAAACGTTTTGTTAAAAAGCTCAAACATCTGCTTTGTCACACCCCCAAACGCACTCCATCCGCATTCAATCATTAATTCCGCACCGAGTCGCATATCTTTAAAACCCCTTTTAACTCATCTCACTCCGCCCCCATCTCTATCTTTACTGTTTACTCACTTTTATACCTATCTCATTCTTACAGTTATCTTATCTTACACCTAGTTCATTCCAAGCTTATCTTCACTCACAATGGATCGAGCTTCTCATCTCCTAGACCCATCCTCTGCAATGGCGGCCATCACCAAGCACAAGGTGGAGGCAATCAAGCTAGCTCGTGAACAAGGAGTGGCCGTCCGAGAGATGTGTCGTCGTGCGAAAACCGAGGTCCCACCATACGAGTTTGAAGAGTTGATAGGCAAAGGTGCCTATGGTCGTGTTTACAAGGGTCACCAAACATCATCAGGCCAGCTAGTTGCTATCAAAGTCCTAGATATTGACTCGCTAGACTACAAGTCACTTCGAGATTTCAGAGATGAGTCGATAAAGGATTTCATCCATGAAACAAAGGTGATGAAGCAAGTGAAGGATTCCGGTGCCAAAAACATCAACGAAATCATTGAAGCCATCTCAATTCACTCTCAGTTGTGGCTAGTCTGCGAGTACTGTCCCGGTGGCAGTGTCCGTACCCTGATGCGTGCAACAAACGACAAGCTCGATGAGAAATACATCATTCCAATCGCTCGTGAGCTAGCTGTTGGACTTCATGCCATCCACGAAGCTGGAATCATTCATCGCGATGTGAAAGCTGCAAATATCCTTATTCATGAAGAGGGTCGTCTGGAGATCTGTGACTTCGGTGTTGCTGGTGTTCTCCAATCACAGCGAGACAAACGATCCACCTGGATCGGAACACCACACTGGATGCCACCAGAGATGTTTGCAACTCGTGGAGAGGCCCATCAATACGGGCATGAGATTGATGTGTGGGCGTATGGGTGCACACTGTTCGAGTTCGCCAACGGGAATCCGCCAAATGCAGGCCTGCGGGAACGAATGCAAATCGGTCGCCAACTAAATCGCAAGACGCCCTCACTGGACAGCGATACATACAGCCAAGGCCTGAAGGACCTTATTGCCTACGCCCTTGACTCGAATCCATATACTCGTCCCACGATGGCAGACATCCTTGCCCACCCGTACATTGCCGATACGGAGGAGGCATATCCGACCGCCTCCGTGAGTGAGTTGGTGAGAAACTACTACCAATGGTCCCAGCGAGGCGGCCAGCGAATCTCTTTGTTCCACCCAGGCGGTGCTGCGGCAGCTGAACTCCCAGGCACCGAGGAGTCAGAAGATGACTGGAATTTCAGTACAACAGATGGGTTCGAGCGAAGATTCTCCGTCATTGACCTGGATGAAATTGCGGCCTCGCTGGCGGAAATGGAGCAATCCATCAGTCCTGCCGATGCTTCTCCTGAGCAGGACATGTACGAACAGTTTTCGGTGGACGATCTAAACTATGAAGACAAGGCCAATTTCGATGAACGTGTGCGCCGAGGCGCAGCGGCACTAGAATGCCTGTTTGACGAGGAGAAGCCCAGCTACAAATACGAAACAAAAAATGACTTTGTCCCCATCGAACCCGAGCCCACTTCAGATCTTCCCCTCCGTTCGGAAACAGATCGCTCTTCTGTCACATCAACTTTTCTCGATATCGACATCGGGTCATTCGAGGCCTCACACTACGCAGCAGGAGCTCCATCTGCGCAACCTTTCCAATTGGTCGATGCGAACACTATCCGCGCGACCCGTTCTAGTCTCCGATTGAACAGGAGCTCCTCTGAGAATAGCTCAAAGTCGTCTGATAGCGGCGCGGATGACGATCAAGCCTTAGAAGATACATTTGTGCCATCTGGTCCTCGACCTCCCACCATGGACTGGAAATTCCCGTCATTCGTCCAAGACGAAGAGGAAAAACCGAAAGAAGACGAAGAGGAAGTTCCTCCACATGAGCCCGCAACAGAGGAGTCTTTCCAGGCTGAAAAGCGAGCTACCATGCAGTGGACATTCCCAGTCATGGGATCTGTGCCCGAGAGCCAAAGCTACGACGACCGACGGGACACCCTCCGGGCTCCGCTGCCTGAGGTTCAGCCTCCGCCGCAGTCGCAGCCACAGTCAACAGATGAACCAGGTGAACCAGGTGACTCGCGTCCTTCGACCGCGGCATCGTATACTTCTGATTCGGATTACGATCCCTTCCGCTTCGATCGGCCCACCACCCCACAGGACGCAAACTCGCTTCGTCGCAGTCATTTCTTTGACACCGAACTCCCCGCGATGATGGATTTAGCCGGTTATGGTGAAGATGAGGCTTCCGGAATCGAAGATGGTCCCGGGCCCGACGAAGATGGCCCCGGGCCAGACGAAGAATCTCAACCTGCATGGAACATGCACTCCAGGGCTTCCTCGTACGAAATTAGTATGACAGCTTTACCCACGGCCGTTCCAATTCCCCCAACCCCCACCTCGGTGACTTCGGGCCCGGTCTCAGAACCGGGATCTCCCGTGTTCGAAACCGTACGAAATGTACGACACGAGACGCCTGAAGTCCTGATGTCACAGCCAGAAGATAAGGGACCAATCCCCTTCCCGGCTCTCAATCCCCCAAGTGCGGCGAGTCTGATGGAGGGTATGGCTGATGGTGTGGTGACGGCAGAACTTGACCGTTTGCTGGGTGATTTCCTGGAGTCGCTTTCGGCGACTGGCGAGGCATTGTCACGGGTGGAGATCAAGCATGAGACGAATGGTGTTCAGGTTGTTGAGCAGGTCTAGATGACCATATTATTACTAGTAAATATTTTTAGTCGGAAGCCATCCAGGTTATCTACAATTCCTATGTACACTGTATAGGTCTCTTAAGGATGATAATATGAACAGTATTCCTGGCTACTGGTAAATGATGTATACTTGGAGCTATGCCTAGGCTTGAGTGTCCTGGGGCTGGTCAAATCTGGTAAACATGACTGAAGGCATAGGTATCGTGGGCAAATATGAGAAATGGACTTTTCTGGGAAACTCTGGGTTGGGAGACTCCAGTCTTTGTCTCTTCTACGTTCTCACACCATCTCGCGTCCCTCTCTTCTTACTCCATCCCATCTCGTGTTTCATCTTTTCTTCATCCTTCATTCACTTGTTCCTTTTGTTTCCAAAATGGCTTCCACTCCAGAAATGCCACCGGAGACCTCGTTGCCCTTTGGTGTCTTTTCTCCTCCACGAGATGCCTACGAATGGAAGAGAGCCCTCGCCGATGTGAAATGGCTATGTCTCAACCAGCAATACAAACAATGTGCCATGCGTTGCAACCAGCTCATAGAGACTGCTTCTAGTCCAGTTTGTACTTCACTCATCCCATCTCTTCTGATAGCTAATGGGCTTGTATAAAGCTCCATCCGATCAGTGCGACCTACCTCCACTATTATGCAGCCATCTCACATGAGTTTATGGGACGAACAGCTCACATATTTTCGGCTGTCAAGATCCCGCTTCTGACTGATGCCATGGAGCGGTTTCAGACTGCCTATGAGTCTCTGCCAGCTACTATCCCAGCCCCGGTTCTGAATCCCAACCAGACCTACTCGCCAGTTACTTTTCTTCATTCGCCTACCTTGTCTGCCCGGTCTTCCTCGAGTGCTATCGAGTGGAGTCCCGCGCATTCACCGGACCATGGCGTCACTCCTGTTACTGGTCCTGGTCCAAATGCTGAAGCTCTGTCAGTTCGGAATCTGTCCGCTTTTAATGCTAGGATGGTTCAAACTCCTCCTGCGCCTGTACCTGCCCCTTCTCCCTCTCGCGCCTCAAGCTCATCTATGACCACTGACTTTTGTATCACTCCACCTCCTGCTCCTGCTCGAGAAGTCTTGCGTTTTGACCATGACGCCCCTCCCCCGGCCTTTCATATCCCTCCTCCGACCCGGCCTCCTCCTCCACCACCATGCGAGGCTCCTGCTCGCCCAGCTACGAGAGATCAATTGCTCTCTTTTAACAGTGCCAGAGATAGACTTCCCAACGGGGCATCTATCGTCCGAAACATTGCCCGGATGATTGATAACTCTATGATCGCAGCAGCCGACGACCCTTTTCTGACTCGTGCGCCGCCAAACTTTGCCGATCCAAAGCGGCCACCATTGCGTCTGTCTCCAATCAAGTTCCCAGTCGAACTTGACGATCCAGTGAAGCGTCGCGAGCTCATTCCATCCCCGCTTGCAATTCGGAAGAGCTCCGGCGAAGTGCACATGTGTAGGAACTCTGCAATAGTAATCCATGGAGGCAAAGAGCAACAAACGTCTATGAAAGAGGTGATTCGACCCGGCCGAGCTCGCCCTCCCCGGCTGCCCTGGGGATAGTCCCAGCCGGACATCTGAATGCTAACACAGAGAAGAAGAGTTATTCAATCCGAGCACCGCGGCCAAAGCGTCCGACTCCGTTCTTCCCTTCGCCCATGACCATGACTCCATCGACACCAACCCCCGTTCCGCGAAAGAAGATGCCCCCCCTCACCTCCCCATTCGTCAGCCGCCCAGCCTCGCCAGGGCAGGAGAGCGTCGGCTCGCCCTCTTTGCAGTCGAGAAAGCCCTCCCCCGCGCCTGTCAGCGCCGAACGCGCCGCCCAGATCGATAACTTCAACAACGCTGTCAAGTGGCTCCGCGAGCACATTCCCGCCGATATTACCGAGCTCCGCAAGCAGATCAAGCATGTTTCGGATATGCAGCATGCCCGTCACTCTCGCAACACGACTATGGCTCGCTCTGCCTCCTTCTGGACGTTTTCTCCCGTGAAGCCTAGCACTTCCGGCGGACCCCAGGAACCTCCTGTGATTGAGGGGCCTAGTCTCGATGAGTATGGAAACATTATTCGGGTTGAGACTAAGGCGCAGCGCATCAAGCGGCTCAGGGAGGAGGATTGGAGGATTGGTATTCAGTCGAAGCACAGTCACTGGAAGGGGACTGAGCACTACGATAACCTTTGCGAGGATGCTTTGGCGGAGCTTGGTGAGACAGGTTATGGATCCCGGGACTGGTTGCAGCGGTGAGACTTTGCTGCTTATTCTTTTGTTAGTGTTCTTTGATTGTTTGCTCTTTCTTTTTTCGGGGGTTGGGTGTCGTGCAGGTGTGGATGCAGGTTCAGTTCTTGGCCCTGGGGCTATTTGATTCAGGGTGCTCGATAGGTGTTGCGTTGTTAAATCTGTCTCGGCGGATATCAATTCGGATCATGAGTGTCATCATGGTCTATGTTTGATTATCTAGGTTGTGGTTCGGTGGGACAAGGGCAGGAATAGCAAGACAATTGATTGTTGGAACTAAAATCATGTTGAAGATTAAGAAAATTAAGTAACAAATCCATGGAACTGTTTCCAGCGACCTTTGTCCAATCTGTAACATAGAAAACACCATTCATATCGTAATCTTTTGTATCAAACCAATTGAGCGAAAGCGCAACAATTCATTTTTCCAGACTTCCTCAACTCCAATGGCCAATTCAAAGACCCTTACCCAATACAGAACCCAATCCCTCACCCAGACCTCCTTTCCCAAACATGTCACCCAGTTGATTGCCGAGTTGATCTTGAATCTTGCTTAGATTCTGGTCCTCGGTGAGTTTCTTGCCAGTGAGACTTCCTATAAGTGAACTCAGGTTAGTATGAATTCATAATTCATTTGCCTCTTTCTCTCTCTGACATGACATACTTTTCAGTCCGTAAGAGACCTTGCTCTCGCCCATATAGTCCAGCAAAAGCTCTTGAAGCTGTTTCTGGTATGGGTCTAGGTAACCAGAGACCCAAGCAGTAAGTAGAATTACATGAAAGGCGAGGAAGAAGAGGAAGGATAGCATGATTGAAAGTTTGGATATATATATTCAGGGTTTTGAGGATATTATGATGGTAAATCTCAAAAATCTCAAAAATCTCAAGTTCAGCTGAACACGCCAAAAAATATATGGTGGTTATATACCTCTGGCTAGGGTATGACGTCCGGTGACGACGCCGTGCCACACAGATACGGTGGGGTCAGGATATTTATTGCCAATCAGGGAATCATCCATGGTGTTTCAATTACAGTGACATTCTTTTCTGTCTCGAATGGTGTCTCAAATGGTGTGTCTCTAATTAGATAGCCGGGTCTTGCATTCTATTTAGGGGATTGATATGACCATGGGTTCTCGCGATAGTACGGAGTACGTAAATAGTGACATCTCCAAAGTTTGTGTAGTTTAGGCTTCAATGCTAACTCACGTTTGGAATGTACATCTTACTTTCGTTTCCATGATCATCTTGATCATCTTCAATCTTTCCCCTACTCAGTATTTCCTAATTTCCCATCATGTCGATATTAATTCGTCTCGTCAGCCCTGGAGGCAGTAACATTCCCGTTGTGGCTGTGCTGGCGCTAAACCCTACAGCCCCCAAGCCCGCAAGCCTTATCGCGTCTAGAACTTCCTGATCTTCCCCTCTCCAGCACTTTTTTTGTTTGGAATCTTTTTTTAAATTCATCTCCTTGGGCTGACTGGCAATTGAAACTGCGATCTCGGATCTTTCAGTCTGCCTAGTGTGGTATGTTCACTCTGTTCCTGTTTGGTGTTTCACGCAGCCACCCCCGCGCTCACCCCTCGAATTTGTTTCTATATTTCCTATATCACTGACCCTATTCTCTCTTAGATTGGACCATTCCTTAAAAAGCCTCAATTATTGGATCCTCAGACCTCTTCTTCGTTCCAGTCGTTGCTACCTAACGCGTTCCGTGTCCATTCGAGCCAACTGCACACCGCGTCTGCTACATTAGGCGTCTGCAGCCCTATCCCCACATCATGAGTTGTGAGTCGATATTCCCATATTCGTGGGACTTCTGTTCCCCGTTCTTGCTATGATTCGTCGTCTGGGGTTGGCCAAATATTGTCCCGCTGCAGCCTTGTCTATAATCTGACTGCACTGCGTTGGATACCATGGCGATCTACACGCTTCTTGTGAGCCCCCCGTGGAATATATGGGAACTGGAAGGACTTGGACTTCTAGCTATCATTTTGTATCAGGGTCTGCTTCGCCATGCCTAAGCCCTCCCCGCTCGGTCGGCTCCTCCAGGGGTCTTTTCTGTCATTTATTTTGTGCAATTCGTCTGAGACGCCCCACAGTTCACTGACGCTCGCTCTCCTAGTCGCAAACATGCTCAACAAGCTGTCCGGGCAGCCGGAGAGCTACGAAAAGAAGTACAGGCTCCTTATCATACCCCCATTACCCCAAATTCGCTGACCTGTTTTCCGCTGGCTATAGGGCTCTCTATAAATTCGGACGGACAATGGGCGCAGGTACATACGGAATTGTTCGCGAGGCAGATGGCCCCGACGGACAGAAGGTTGCGGTCAAGATCATTCTGAAGAAAAATGTCCGTGGCAACGAGGGCATGGTCCACGATGAGCTCGAGATGCTGCAATCACTCAAACATCCCCACATTGTCTCTTTCGTCGACTGGTTCGAATCTAAGGTGAGCACATCTCTGTTTAATCCGATCGTTGAGGAGCTCTAATAGTGGGCCTAGGACAAATTCTATATCGTTACACAGCTAGCCACTGGTGGCGAGCTGTTCGACCGAATCTGCGAGTATGGCAAGTTCACTGAGAAGGATGCGTCGCAGACCATCCGCCAGGTGCTTGATGCCGTGGACTATCTACACAAGCGCAACATTGTTCACCGAGGTCAGTCCCATGAGCCACATTAGCACTTTGTATATACTAACCCTTGCGAAGACTTGAAACCCGAGAACCTCCTCTACCTCACCCGTGCCCCCGACTCTCAATTGGTCTTGGCAGATTTCGGTATCGCGAAGATGCTGCACAGCCCCTCTGAGGTATTGACCAGCATGGCCGGCTCCTTCGGCTATGCTGCTCCCGAAGTCATGCTCAAGCAGGGCCACGGCAAGGCTGTCGATATGTGGTCGCTCGGCGTCATCACCTATACCCTCCTGTGTGGCTACTCCCCCTTCCGATCCGAGACCTTGACCGACCTCATCGAAGAATGCCGGACCGGCCGCATCATCTTCCACGAGCGGTACTGGCGCGATGTGTCCCAGGACGCCAAAGATTTCATTCTCTCTCTCCTGAATGTGGACCCCAGCAAGCGGGTCACCTCCGAGGAAGCCCTCAAGCACGTATGGCTGACCGGAGAGACTGCGAGCGACCGCGACTTGCTGCCAGAAATCCGCACCTACATTGCGCGCGCCCGTCTCCGCCGCGGAATCGAGATCGTCAAGCTCGCCAACCGTATCGAGTCGCTCAAAATGCACGAGGACGAAGATGGGGATGGGGAGGACATCCCCAGCCCCATGGACATGGGCAACTCAGTCGAAGAGTCAAGTGTGGTGGAACCATCAGTGCCAAGCGGCGATGCCGCTGCTACCCCTGGCCACGCCAAGAAGAAGAGTCTGGGCAGTGCTGCTCGTGGTGCCATTTTCCGTGAAGTTGTTCTGGCCAAGGTCCGTGAGCAGAAGGAGGCCGAGGAGCGGGAGAAGATCGAACGCGAAGCTCGCGAGAAGGCTGCTGCTGCGTAAATTGTTTATTATCTTTCTTTGTGTCTCTTTCACATCTTACGTCTTGTCCATACGCTGTTTCTATGCCTATCCTGCCCTGTACCTATCTTTTATCTGCCAGGCGGTTTCTTGGATATAATTCTGTGATTCCCAACCAATCATCGCGCTTGCTTTTCTTGTTTTGGTAGAAAACTATACAACCACGAAGAGTAGCAAGCACTTCTTGGATTTTTTTTCCGACTCAACGTCCAAGACTTGTACTGAACCTCCAAATTGGGGTATCGACGAAAGAGGTGACCTTTCCACTTGCTACCATGTTCAATTGCTCTAGGATTAGGAAAAACAACTGGCATTATGCCAACCAGAAGCACCATGTTATGTGTCAGAAACCAAGATTGTTAGTTACCATTTGTTTACATGTCTTTTTACAGACCGCTCATGTGACCGTTTCCTATGCATTTGCTTATTAATTGTGTCCCATCAAATTGTCATTTTCGGATATTTTATTTTTTACTGCCATACAATTTGACCATACACTCGCATTCACGATTTTCCGTTACTATGCTTTAAAGAAACATGCTCTCTACGTTACCAGCAGAGCTGCTGTTCTTAATAACAAGCTATCTTGATAGCCACATTGATACTCTGCGGCTCGCCTCCTGTTGCCGTGCCTTCTATCCACTCTTGTTACCCAAAGTCTTTACATCGCTCGACCTGATAGAGCACCACTATGGCCGCTTGAGTCATCTGGTGCACACACTCGCATTCAACCCGGCATTAGCGCAAGAAGTGCGCACTCTCCGTGTCTCCCATGAGTGGCTGCGGCCTTCCGTCATGCGATATGAACAGGAGGTTATCCTACCAGTTCTGAAATCAACCTTGGGGCCCGACGATAGCCTATCCACATGGGACCAGGAACTACAGACTCAAGGGAGTCATGACGCATGGACTGTCCTGCTTCTGGCCCTCTTGCCTAATCTGGAGGATCTGGTTGTACAGGTTCATGAATATTCAAACTACACTCTCGAGTGGATGGCTAGGATCGCCAAAAAAGAAGGCTCTGGTTTATCTAAAATAAGACACCTCACTGTCGTATGTTCTGATATAGATGGTGGCCTCAGCTCATCGCACTTTCTCCCAATACTTCGACTTCCCTCGTTACGAAGCTTTTGTGGCGATATGATATATGATGGTGAGAAAGACGTTGAAGATCAAGCGGTCAATACGGCTAGCTACGGGTCTGATAACGCTCGGTACTCCAATGTCACTCATATCCACCTCAAGTCCAGTTGTTCTCGAAGAGGCTTTGCGAGTTTCATCGGCGCAGCCAAGAGCCTCGAATCTTTTATCTTTGAGCATGCCGATATCCCGCATTTCCTAGAAGATGAGGGGATGTACGCGGCGAATTACTACCCACCATTGCAAAGACATCGGGAGACCTTGCAAACGTTAACATTGACCGACGCGTACACCAACAATTATTCCAATTACGGGGCTTACGGCTATGAATACATCG